ATATGTGGTTGAAAAGACCAGTAGTTTTATTGTGCTCCGCTTACGTTACTTAAATCTGAAAATGTTAAAGTTGGGGAGTTTAACATCTTACATTTTGTCCTGGCTGCTAAATGAAGTGGAAGAGGAGGCCACGAAGAAAAGGATGCAGTATGAGATAAAAGGGGTGTCAGTACTGTACTTTACCTTGTGAAATGGTGCCAGTCAGTCTCTGCACCTGCAAATGGCAGTACAGTGCCACACGGCTGTGTGAAGTCATTTGAGAGTGCTTTATATGGTGATGATCTTTAAGTCTGTAGAATGCTCAACGAAATAATTACTTGAGAAAGATAATATTTCATGTATTTTCCAGGTTCTTTTCAATCTTAACTAGGATAGCATCTCCTCAAGGGCAGAGTATCTGATTCTTAAATAATAGAAGGTGCCCTCACTATTGGCTGAGGACACATTTTAGGAAAAAATTTGACATTGCCATTATATATTTGCTGCTACTAAATTATACTCACATACCTGGGTAGAAGTACAGTCTGAAATTTAAAAACAACAAGATGACAGTTTATTGTTGTGCTCAGTAAGCATGTCTTGAACCCTCAGAAGCGTCATGGTCTCTGATTGCTACTAATACCAGGAGAAGGAAAAGACAAGGCTTTTGTTCTCAAGATGCTCACAGCCTTGCAGCAAGACAGACAAGTAACCATTTGTTGTACACTGTGATTCCAACAGCCGTAGAAGAGCCTTGGCATCAGTCTGCACAGAGCTAATTTTCAGTCCTCTAGCCCATACCTGTCCTCAGTCAGAATCTCAGAGGTGGGACCTGGGAGTCTGTATTATTAACACCCACCTGCATTCTCACTGACTAGGCAGGCTTGGGAACCAGATCTCCAGGGTAAGATGGTTCCACATTTGTCTTTTGTGAAGTTGATTAGCATAATGCCCTCAAGGTTCATCCATATTGTATTATATGGCAAGATTTCCTTTGGACTAAAGTGAAGTGAAAGTCGCTCAGTTGTGTCCAACTCTTTGTGACCCCATGGACTATACAGTTCATGGAATTCTCCAGGCCAGAATACTGGAGTGGGTAGCCTTTCCCTTCTGCAGGGCATCTTCCTAACCCAGGGATCGAACCCAGGTTTCCCCTATTGCAGGCGGATTCTTTACCAGCTGAGCCCCAAGGGAAGCCCTTGATTTCCTTTATCTTAGGCTAAATAATATTTCATTGTATGAGTGTGTGTATTCTTCATCCATTTATTCACCCATGGACACTTGTATTGCTCCCTCCTCTTGGCTATTATGAATAGCATGCTGCGAACACTGGAGGGTCTCCGTACCACTTTTATTCAACTTGATAAAAAGGCCATCCAAGCTGAAGGCTTCACCCTTCATCTGGGTCCCATTTTACAGCTGAGACAGTTGACTGGGCCTTTGTTATTCAGAGCCTGTTTCAGTCTTCCCCTTTAACCGCAGAGGCCTAGAGGCAGTTGTTTTCTCCAGCCCTGCAAAGCCTGAGATTTCTGAGCTGTCTGCTGTCTCTCATCACTCCTCTGTCCTGTGCTCCTGTCCGTCCTGCAGTGTTCCACCGGAGGGGGTGTTTCTGGCTTTGGTGACAGTGTGATGTGGGTGGAAGGCGGGGCGCTCTGCTCCGTGTACTCCCTCAGGTGGCTGGCTGACCCCAGGGCCATTTATCCTCGCCTGTTCCAGCAAAGAGGGAGAAAAGTGGGGAAGGCTGCCCAGGACGGTGCTTAGGAGCCTGACCTGGAAGTGGAAATGTCCTCTCCCCGCCCCACCGGCGGGGCTTGTGCTTAGAGCTCTGCGCTGCTCCCCTGTGCTGTGCTTAGTCGCGACTCTTTGTGACCCCGTGGACTGTAGCCCACCAGGCTCCTCCATCCATGGGGATTCTCCAGGCCAGAATACTGGAGTGGGTTGCCATGCCCTCCTCCAGGAGATCTTCCCAACCCAGGGATTGAACCCAGGTCTCCCACATGGCAGGCAGATTCTTTACCAACTGAGCTACCAGGGAAGCCCTGCTTAACTGTAAAGGAAGATGGGAATTTAATCTTGCCCTGCCCCCAGGGAGAAAGGAAAACCATGTTTGCACACAGAGCAGCCATTGCCACCAGCCGGAGCTAAATTTGGAAGTGCCAGCCTGTAGGTAGTGATTAAAGCCGTCAGCAAAGATGGGGATCACCCATACAGATGTGATGAGACTATTAAGACCGCCACAAAACAAGGGTGCTTTCTGGAGGGCCTGCCAGGGTAAAAATCACTTATGTAATTTATGTAGTAAAGTTTAAGCATGTGGATTAAACAATGGAGAAGCAGGTTTTTCAGAAACTGGAATGTTGTCACTCTGAAGTTAGTGCAGGAAAAAAAAGTCTTTAGTGTGATTGTTTTACATCTGGTGAAGCCTGTGAGTATAAAATGACTCTGAATTTGAGAAATACTGATCTAAATAAAGATTTTTATTTATCCCTTATTCATTGAGCATTTAAATTTGTGACAGGTAGCGTGAGCACTATAACAGTAAGTCACAGGCCCTCAAGGGGAATCAAATTAAGTAGGAAAGACAGAAGGCAAGGAAATGCATACCTAAAACCTCAGGCCCAATCTTTAAGACCACGGGAAGCACTTAAAACATTTCACCACCAGGGTAGCAGTCTGGAGGTACAGGAGTGATGGTTTTGGAGTGAAGCTGACCTGGGTTTGAATCGCAGTTCTGTTGCTCTGCTCGTAACCTTAACTGTGGTTATTACCATCTGGAACCATCTAGTTTCCTTATTTCCAAGTTGGTGATAATATTTACCTTTCAGGTGGTTGTGAAGATCAGGGGTAACGTGTACATAAAGCCTGGCTCAGTGCTTGGTATTACATGTGTGATAGTTGTCCTCTTGTTATTAGGAGGGTGGAGCTCACACTGGGTTGGTGAGATGGCCCTGACCTCACACGCATTCATGAGTTCCTCGTTCAGTTGTGTGTAGTGAGCTGCTGTTGTGCACATGGTACTTAGGATGAGGCCGTGTGAGTACCTCTGTTCTCTAAAGCCCCGTTAAGGTGATAATGTGGGTCATGTTTGTATCACAGGTTTGCAGCCACCAGGCTTACATACTGTCTTCCCCTCTTTCAAGTGACCGAGGCCACTCTGTCCCCCTGGAGCCGTCCCCACCTTCCTCTTTGCTGCTGGTCACAGCCTGACTTACTGTCCCACACCGTCGCCTCTTCCCCTGCCTCCTGCTCTCCCTTCATTGCTCGAATCTCCACAAGCTGCCCCCTCCACCTGAGGAAGACTGTTTTTCCTTAGCTCTCTTCCCAAAGCTGCAGCTTTGCATTTTTTCCCAGTTACCTCAGAATAACTCACCACCTTCTTTCTGTCTCTGCTTGTCCATTGTCCTTCTCTCTTTGCAGACACGAACGCTGGTGACTGCCACCAGCATCCGTTGCACACATCCTGTCTGGTGGGCGCCGTGTTGCGCCTCCCCGTCCTCCAGCAGTTCTGTTGTGAACTCATCAAAGGCGGGGACCAGCTATGTACCTCTCTCAATTTTCAGTACAGTCCTTTGCCCACAGGAAATGACTTGTAAATAGCTCTTGAGCAGAGAGAGGAAGAACAACCAATTTTATCTCTCAGAAAATCATTTTTAAGCAATTATTTCATAAATAGTTTTGTTTTGTATTGTGTTGAAGTATTGAAGCAATATTCATTTTTTTCTGATAAGTGCAAATAGCCTCTTTGGTATTAGATTAAATGTGCTTTTTGTGGGATTAGTTAGGAACCATTTATTATATTGGTTTTATGGCAAATTGATTCTGAGTTCTAAACAGCTGCCTTTACAAAGTCATTTTGGTATATGAATAAGACGTGGACTCTGTGTTCAGAATTTTTCCTTGTCGGTGATTTCTTTAAAAGAGGATTTAGTTTTCAGTGAAAGTACCTTGTTTGTTGTTCTCTTCTGTGTCTGTTTGTGCCACTTACCACAAATACAGATTCTCAGACTTTTTCAGTCCTCAGGCATGAGGTCACTGCTGGAGCCAACTGGAAATAGATCAAGGATTAACACATGCACATGTTTACCGAAGTCCCAGGGCTATGCGCTACAACTGAAAACGACCATCACTAGAGAGTGGACAGCTTTTACAGAGAAGGAATTCCATACTTGTTACCATCAGTGAATGTGCCGTATTATTTTGAGGACTTGCCCATCATAAACAAGTTTAAAAACAACATCTGAGTTATGTCATCTCCATATCTGTCCCACCACTGCCCTGCCGAGGACTTGCGTGCCTCTTCCTCAGCCACTGCCCTGTCTCCCCAATGTGTCCCATCTGTAGTCCTTCCCCGTCTAACCAGCCCACCATGCCCTGACCTTTTCAGCCTTCCCTTCGCTGTTGCTCCTCAAAAACACCATGCTAATCAACCTTCAGTTTTCCTGATTTCTTCTTTTTCTATCCCTCCTCCCCTCCGTCCCTTGCTCCTTCCTTTCCTTTCCCTTCTGCCTGTTTCTTTCACTTTTAGAAGAAGCAAAACAAGTAAGTGAACTCAGGGAACAAGTCCATGTGTCACAAAAGGCCTTGCTCAGAAACCACTTCATAATGTTTCTCTGAGTGTCTCTTCCATCCACATAGATGAATACACATCATCTGTATTTCCCCTGGGAAGTTTATGCTTCTAGAACTTACTGTATTCTGCCATGTCTCACCATTATAGCAAATGGATTGCAAACTCCTCAAGAGCAGTATCCACGTGTGGTTTAACTTCATATACCTCTTAGAGGGGTCTGCTCAGAGTCAGGGCACAAGAAATGTGTATTGAGCACTTGCTTCTCTTCAAGATAGGCTAGTATAAATATGTCCTTCATTTGAACTTGGTGTTTGTATCATTCCACATTCTCTTTGACATGACCATCTCTAGATTTTTAAGGTACGGGAACAGCCCCTTTCTGTTAATAAGTTTAATATTGTTTTTCATTTGAATCTCAACAGTCAGTGAACTCTGCCTTCTCATTTGGTAGCCTCGTGTGCAAACTGAACACAAGGACCACCGTCCTCGCAGCAACTAACCCCAAAGGCCAGTACGACGCCCATGAGTCTGTGTCAGTGAACATCGCCCTTAGCAGCCCGCTCTTAAGTCGCTTCGACCTGATCCTGGTTCTGCTTGATACCAAGAATGAAGACTGGGATCGTATCATTTCCTCTTTTATCTTAGAAAACAAAGGTATGTGGAAACGATCAAATCATTCAAATTGACAGAGTAGACATAAATGAAATTTTCCTTGAGGAAAATCAAATAAAGACCCAAGGTCCCACACCCAAGAGTCTATAGAGAAATGCTTAGACTGAAAGCAGTGAGCCTAGTTAGCGAGCCTAGAACAATGCGCAGAAGGAAAAGGGTCTTTCTTTGCTTGCCATAGGTCCTTTGTGGTGAAAGGGGGCAACTTTATGTATAATTACCACATGGTTCACCTCCTATACACAAAGAAAACTGGACTGAATTTATGAAACAGAATTCTAAATGTGGAGCTTTTGTCAAAAAATTAGGCTTATCAAATATTAGTTATTACTGTATATGGCAGAACAGTTATTCTGAATAATTTAAATCCCTGTAGGAAGCTTACCTTTATTAAGCTTAGAGCCCAAGACTGTTTATTATAGAACTATATGCAGAGACAGGTCTAGATTTCAGTGGCCAGAGAATCGGAAGGTTATCCTTTTAAAAACAAGTACAAGACCTTTATCAAAACACTCAATATGAGATATTTGCCTGTTTTTAGAAATTACTGACCCAATACCTGATATATACAGGTTACCCAAACAAATCAGAGAAGCTCTGGAGCATGGAAAAGATGAAATCCTACTTCTGCCTCATTAGGAAACTACAGCCCACACTGTCTGATGAGGGTAATCAAGTTCTGCTCCGGTACTATCAGATGCAAAGGCAGAGTGACTCCCGGAACGCTGCCCGAACCACCATCCGCCTGCTGGAGAGCTTGATACGACTAGCAGAAGGTTAATTTCACTCAGCAAACACTTTTATTGGGTGCCCAGTGTGAGCTAGGGCTTTCCTGGTGGCTTCGACTGTAAAGAATCCACCTGCAATGCAGAACACCTGGGTTCGATTCCTGGGTTGGGAAAATCCCCTGGAGAAGGGAATGACAACTCACTCCAGTATTCTTGCCTGGAGAATTATGGACAGAGGAGCCTGGCGGGCTACAGTCCATGGAGTCGCAAAGAGTCCGACACGACTAAGAGACTAAACACACAGTGTGAGCAAGGCTTGGGACTTGGCACCATGAATTCAGAGATGAGTAAGGATGACCTCTGAGATGCTTGCTCCCAGTTGGTTAAAAAGTAAAAGCTTGAAGCTACGAAACCTACACAGATTATAGATGTTGAGTGGAATGTAGTGGCGTTAAGGAAAAGGAATCTTTGTGACATCTCATAACTTCCTGTAACTTAGGACCTCATTCATTTAGAAAGTCTTATTTACTGTATGTTTTCTTTCTCAATGGCCTCTGTTTGAATATGCCTTTGTTGGGAACTGTTTTCTGTATAGCATCCTGGGTTATTTCTCACCAGTTGCCACTCACAGCCACCACTAACACAGTAACGTTGAATTAACAATGCTGTCCTCTGTCCCATCCCTAACAAGTATGAGACTTGCGTGCATGCTTGCAGCTCATATGCATCCCCAGACTTTTTTCCCCTTAATACTGGCTTTTACATTTAGCACTTACTTAAATAATCCTAAAGATTTTTTTTCACGTGAATTAACTGTATGATATGATATATGCTTAACTAAAAAGTTCCATAAAACAAAACTGCTTCACTTTGTCAAGGATTTATAATTAATATTAAGGCAAGAAATACCTAAGATTCAGGCTTGCAAGTTTGGTAGTTTTGAAAAGCTGACAGATAAAGAGATGTACCAGAAATGAGAAATGAATTTTAGTTTCGTTTAGATTATACTAGATTAGAGCGTAAGAGTTAAAAGTTACTAAACATCAAGTATATGCTTATATAGCCCCTTTCTTTGCTGGAGCCCAGGGTACTTTTTCATGTGAATACACAGAATTGTCATGGGCTGTGCAGAAGAATTAGGCCCCCTATTAGAGAAAGAACCTTAAAGCTACTTGAACTTAGACATCTGTGCTGGTTCTAGTAAAATGTATTTGTTATTAGAAGCACATTAATAATATACAGTTTTGGAGTAGGGAGCACCAAGGAGAGTATTACATTTGTCACCTCAGATATTCATGAAAATAATTTCCTCATCATTTCAAATGCACCTTTCATAGCTCATGCTCGCCTGATGTTCCGTGATAGAGTGACTCTGGAAGATGCTGTCACAGTGGTGTCAGTAATGGAGTCCTCCATGCAGGTAAGCATATCTTGTACCTAATATTTGAACCCTAATTGCAAGCACTGTTTAAAAAAGACAGTTTATAACATACCTGGAGTTATAAAAATGGCCATATTTTAGACCTATTCATTCCTGGAAGTTTATCCAAAGAGAACCATTTAAAAGAAGTGAAAAAAATTGTCATGGAAACAGTCTGCACTGTTTTACCCACTGGTGTAAAGTAGTGGGTCTTACTCCTTTTTCTCCTCAACACAGCTGAGATGCTCATGGTTCCACTCGAGACAGCGTGGCTCCTCAGAGCGGTGCGTGCCGCTGGGGAGTGGGGGAGAGGACCCCTGAGAGTTGAGTCAGGCTCCGGGATGCTCTGATGGCCATGACGGGGGCGTAGGGGGTGGTCTTACCGCCTGGGGCCCGTGGTCCCCGGCGTGCACTTCTGTGTGCAGGCCTGCTGACTCTGCTGGTGTCTCCCGTGTTCTCGCCCTGTCAGGGAGGCGCGCTGCTAGGAGGTGTGAACGCGCTCCACACTTCCTTTCCTGAAAACCCTCTGGGGCAGTACCAAAGGCAGTGTGAGCTTATTCTGGAAAAGCTGGAGCTGCCCGACCTCTTGAGTGAAGAACTGAGAAGACTCGAGAGGTGAGAAAAGAAAACCAAGAAAGGCATGTCATGGAACATGCTTGTTTGGCATTTAGTGAAACGAAAGAAGTGGAAAGTAAGTGGAAAATCTGTGTAGGAGATTGCGGTTACTTGGTGCTATATAATCTACTCCATCAAAGCTCAGTGGCTTATCAAAAAAACCCACCATACCCTTTTAGTGCCCACTTTCTGGGAGTCAGATTCAGGGGCGTTCAGTGGGGATGTTTATTTCTGTTTCACATAGTGCCAGCTGGGGTCACTCATACACCTGCTAGCTGGGAGCTCAGCTGGGTTTGGAACTTCGAAGGGAGCTTCTGTCACATGTGTGTGGTGCCTTTGCTGGGGCGGCTTACTTGGCCAGGAGCTCTCTCTACCGTAAGGTAGTAGGAATTCTGAGATGGTAGCTTAGGACGCAAGTAGCTGAGCAAAAGTGGAAGCCGCTAGCCTCTCATGGGCTGGGCCAGAGCGGACATGGCATCACTTCTGCCACATTTTACAGGTCAGAGCAAGTCACAGGGTCAGCCCATGTGCAAGGTGAAGGGACATGGACACCACCTCTTGATAGGAGAAGTGGTGTAGACATATGGAAAGGAGGGGACTGATGGCAGCCTCTGGGGGGACCACCTTCCACAGCTGTGTTTCCTTGGCTGGCTGGTTTAGTGAGCCTTATGGAGAACATGGACTGGTCCTTTACTGTGTATAATCAACTGGGTCCTGATTATATGAGAAGGACCAAGGTATGCCACCTACAGTTTACACCCAATATAACGCACAGTTTCCATTGAGAAACCTTGGTGAATGGGCTGTATCCTGTTTACTACCACCGCTTTTTTCCTCTTCTCTTTCTTTGGCTCAGTGTAAGAGGTAGTGCTGTCAGAGAGGTGGCTGGGACCGCTGTTGAGGAAGAGGAAATTGGCCGCCAAGAGAGTGGTCTCTCTCATCCTAGGCCAGACCCAGACACAAAGTGTTTTATAAGCTGGGCTGTTTCACGTGTGGCAGGAAAGGACATGTGCAAGGGTATTTGCATAAAGAATCTTCATGTTTATTAATATTTTAATTCACTTCTTATTGTCTAAAGCTTTCCTCGAAACATAATAAATATTTGATCTTTAGTCTTTATATGGCAGCTTCCCTAGTAGCTTAGATGGTAAAGAATTTGCTTACAATGCAGAAAACCTGGATTCAACCCGTGGGTCAGGAAGATCCCCTGGAGAAGGGAATGGCAACCCACTCCAGTATTCTTGCCTAGAGAATTCCCCAGGTTGAGAACTAAGTGACTAAGAACACACACAGTCTTTATATGACCCAGGTGGAAGAAAATCGCAGGTAGAGACCGAGGCACAAGCTGCTTTCAGGCCAGCCCTGTGCCAGAATGCCAGGACGGTTCTGGAAGTGGAGATAAGAGTACAGCAACGGCTTTACCCGGAAAAGGCCCTTCTGGTCTGTTAGCAGCTGCTCTGACCCTCCCTCAGCATCACGATTTCCTTCCCTACTACACTCCCAAATCTGTGACTTAAAAATTTACAATTTAACAGCCAAACTGAAAAAATTCTTCAGTAAGAATTACATTTTATGTTAAAGAGGTAAATCTATTTTTCATCCTACAGGGGAACAACGCAGGAATGACAGGAGCAGTGTTTCAAAACCCCCTTTTCTAGTGACTTGTTACTGTAGACATGTGGGAAGGAACATGTCACACGCATCACCTCAAGAATTTTTGCCTGAACTTTTTGCTTGAAAGAAAGAGCCGCTCGGTCATGTCTGATTCTTTGCAACCCGCCAGGCACCTCTGTCCCTGGGATTCTCCAGGCAAGAATACTGGAGTGGGTTGCCATGCCCTCCTCCAGGGCATCTTCCCAAGCCAGGGATGGAACCCGGGTCTCTCGTATTACAGGCAGATTCTTTATCATCTGAGCCCTGCTTGCTCCCTAAATACGTGAGCTTCTATTACAGAGTAGACTTTGAGTCTGTGCCTGTGTCGAGGGAGTGAAGGATGGCAAGTGTGTCCATCAGGCCTCTTCCTGCTGGTGCACGTGGGTTAATCGTTGACCTGAGCGTGTTACCAGTGTTGATCTCAAAACTGGGCGCTGGGGAATAGAGAGCATGTGAGAGCCTAGCAGCTACGCAGGGAGAATTTGGGGTGCACATCAGGATGATTAGCTGTTGAAGCTAATCATCAAAACCTTGAGAATTCTTTTCCTGGCATTTCTCTCCTATTTTGCTCACTCCCTTCATCCAGCAGTGTTCTTGTTCTATTTATAAAACCCAGGCACAGCTTTCTGGGGAAAAGTGGGAGATGGTTTTGTCCTGCTGATACCCGGTAAATTTGCACTTTGTCTAAAATCAGCCTCTTTATCTTCTAGTCTCCTGGCCTTTTCATGATCCATAGTGTTAAGATCAGTACTCTTCCTTTGGTTCTTTTATGTGTTGAGGTAGCCGATCCTTTTCAGTCCTGTCCTGGGCTTGGCTTTGCATTTGGAGAGGGTTCTCACATTTTGAGTGAGCAGAAACTCATTTGAGTACCCCAAACTGACACACGTCAGATTCAGGAAAGGAAGGACTGTGAGTCTCAGAGCAGTGTTGTATGATAGAAAAAGGGCAATTGGACTTATCAGATTCAAGATGACCCTCCTGGAGGGAAGGAAGGAAAACACAGAAAGAGTAAGTGATGGTATGAAAGCTAGGATTCTGCCTTAAAAAAAATTTCTTTTTCCCTTCTGGTATTTCTTTGTAATGCAAGAGTTCCTGAGCTGATCCTCAAGCAACAAAACCAGGTGCCCACAAAGGGGGGCATCTCCTGTGCCCCCTGTGTCGCAGGCAGATTCTTTACCCCTGAGCCACTGGGGAAGCCCCTCTACTAGTGACAGCCAGCCTCAAATGGCAGCTGTCCTACCCATCTCAAAGTAGAGCGTGAAGATGTCTTTTAGGTGGTATAGTAAAGTGTAGAGTTTAAATAGCAGTACCTTTAAAATTCCCATAAATTATTCAAGTTGTGGAGTGTTAACAGTTATGAGTATCCCTGACCTCAATTTGATACTGAAAGTATACTAGATAGTAGTAATTTTGAAAGCTATTTGGGTTTGTTTTTGTCTTTTTTGGTCTGACTGTGATTACAGTGAATTCAGATTTTCTGTATTGTTGTTCCCAAGTCTACTATGAGTGACTGTAGCCCCAATTTTTAAAGTAAATTTTTAGTGTTTTTTTCCTGGTTGTAATCAATAATACATTCTTTAAAATTAAAAAAAAAGTTTATTATTTATTTATTTATGTGGCTGTGCCAGGTCTTCGTTGCGGCATACAGGACTTTTAGTTGCTGGCCGCATACTAGATCTAGTTCTCTGACCAAGGATTGAACCCGGCTCCCCTGCTACAGAGTCTTAGCCACTGGAACACCAGGGAAGTTCCAATACACATTCTTTATAAAGTATTTTGAAAGTAACAATAATGAATTAATAAGGGGAAAAAAATCACACATAACGTTATTTCCCAGAGAAAGTTATCATTAATGTGTTAATGTATTTAAATACATTTAAATTTAAATCCATTTAATTTTGATATCTTCTGTTCCTTTTCTATGATAACACATGATTTTCAGAAAAATTAACTTATCAGCTTTTTGGTGTAGTTTCTTTTCGGATTTAGTGCCTGGAAGCAGAGACATATTGCTCCTTATACTGAAAAGGCATTTTTAGGTTGTTAGGAAGGGCTTTCTAAGGGATGTCTTTTTGAAAAGCTGCTGTAATCCCTGTTAGAAATCGGTCCTCTGGCAATATTTCAGTTTCTAATATGCCCAAGGTTTAAAACGAATGTCACAAGGTTAACTCCGTCATTCTCGGTAGGTCAGTAGGTTTCAACTCTGTATCTGTCTGATGGAGAGTGGCTGCCCAGAACAGATGCTTGGCAGGAAAGAGGTCATGACTGCCTGGGGGAGGCCTGCCACGAGGGTGACTGCTGGAGGGGGCAGAGGGTGCCAAGCACAGAGGAATCATAGTCTCTTTACTCTTGAGGAAGGTCATTTTTTAGATGCACTAAAATTCAGTACCTCATTTAATTAAAGAGGTTTGAGGAGGTCATAATCTTTGGTTCTTTCCCTCTGATCTTTCCCTTTGGTTCAGCTCTGCAGACTGGCTGCGAAATAGCTCGAGCCACTTCCCCTGGTCAGTAGTCAGCTACTGTTCACATAGCCCCCAGGCTGTCTTGTAGGTGAACATTTAACACTGGAGAAAAGACTGACCTTCCGACAATCTGATGAATGAAACAGACTTCCAGAGAGATCTGAAAATATAGACAAACCTGCTCTTTCATTTTCTTTATTTTACTATAGTTTTAGGTTAAATTAGTATGATTATCAGAGCACTTGTATTCTATCCTGATGAAAAAGGATAATTTCCTCCTGCTGCTCTAAGAGATGGTATGTGGTATTGGCCTGGAATTATGCTGGACTTAAACCCTTAGATGGCCTCTCAGAGAATAAAGAAAGGAAAAGATTAAAGAAATACATGTTTTCCTTATATGCTGCAGGTTACAGAATCGGAGTGTGGATCAATCCCAGCCGCAGGCTGTGGAAGCAGAGATGACTCCAGGGTCCCTGGGAGGTGACACGCAGAAAGAATCAAACTTCAGAACATCGACGCAGCAGGAAGTAAACAGTAGCACCCATCAGTTCTCCGTTGGAGGCAATCTCGGGGGAAGCCCACTTCTCGGTCCCCCTTCCCATCTGGGGCCTAAAAGACCAGCAAGTAGGAAGCATTCAGAGGAGCACAGAAATAGCCAGGATGACAGTTTGGATTGGTTTGACTCTGTGGCAACTCATCCGATTGAACCTAATAGCACTGCTCCGGTGTCTCCTAGTCCCAAAACAAGAAGGGGGTTGAAAATCTGCAACAGCAGATCTCAGGGTAAGGAGGAAAGGGAGGCAGGCCAAAGGAGCAAACTGGAGAGTAAACCACCTCCAGCAGCAGGAGAGACAGAAGCTCCATTGAGGCCAGACAGCCATGAGGATGAAAGGGCAAGACAGGCCGCCACGGTTTCTGAAGCGGCCGTATGTGCTGATGAACCCGACTTGGTGCTGACTCATCACGTCCCCAGGAAACTGCACAAGCTGCACAGGGCGAGGGCCCGGGAGTTGTGCAGGAATCCCGCCAGGCCACCCTCGCAGCCCACAAGCCCTTCTCATCCTCAGCCCACTCCTATCCAGAGCCCAGAGAGAGCGCTGGAAACTCCCAAAAGGAAGAGGCAGAAGTCACATGCTCAGGCGCAAGAGCCCCACCATGAAAGTGTTGAGAGTCTGGGTGCCCCTGTGGCCAAACTGGCAAAATTCACTTTCAAACAGAAGTCAAAACTGACCCATTCCCCTGAGGACCGTGGCCCTTTGTCTCCTGGCACCAGTAAACCAGTAGTTCAGAGTCCTGAAACTCCTCAGTGCAGAGCAAAAGGAGGAGCGGCTCTGCCTGGGAAGGGTCCAGAAAAGCTGGCCTCCCCCTCCAGAATTAGAAGCTCGGCTCAGCCGCAGGATGAGACAAGGGGGGTGTCACAGCAGCCACCCTACAAAGACAGACCAGGAGAGAAGAGGGAACGCGCCCCTGCAAAGGGAACTGTCCACCCTGAGTTAGAGCTTGGTAACGACACGGGGCATTTCCGTCTTGCTAGTGAAAGAGTCAGAAAGGAAGAGGTTTCGTGCAGTAATAAAAGCAGCAAGGTTCATGCTTGCACGTTAGCCAGATTGGCAAACTTCTCCTTTACTTCCCCCTCTGAATCCAAATCAGAATCCCCTCCTCCTCCTGAAAGTAAGAACCCGGGTGAGGGCGGCCCCAGCTGTGGGGCCACAGCCACAGCGCTTGGCAGGAAGAGGAAAACTTTTCAGCTGGACACATCCACCGGGAAACTAAGTCTTTCCAAAACATCTCTCTTCACTTTACCAGAACTAGATGATGAACCACTGGATTTTGATTGGGATGAGGAAATGAGAAAAAAGCCGTAATCGTGAAAAGGTTTCTGGTCAAGTTTCACCCTCCCCAACCAAAGCCAGCTCCTCCAGGATGGCAGTGTGGCATTTATAGATGTGGACACTATTCTGAATGCCACCTCCCGCCCCCACCATCAGGTTTTGTAAATTCAGGTTTATCCTCATGATGTGAAAAGCTGTACAGTTATTGTAGGTCACAGTGATACCAGCACATGAATTGTATTAATTAGCAACTGTGCCTTTATTTTGCAAACATTGTACTTGTATTCCTAAAATGTTTGTTTGTTTTGTTTGGGTTTGATATTTTTTTTAAGGGGGTGGGTTGTCCTGAGACCCCTTCTTTCATTCCCTCATGCCACGAAGGTAACACTCATAAAGCTAACAAGTCCAATGGGCTCTTTTTCTATTGTTTTTTTTGTTTTTCACCCAAGATGTGCTGAGTATGGTAAGTATTTATTATGATTTGTCAGAATCATGTGATTTTTCTGAATTTTTTTGATGTTTATTCTCATGTGTCATATTAAATATTATTAAAGCTCTTGTTTCTCCAAGAGGCCTTCTCATAATTCCATGGTAGACTTTAAAGATCTGGCAGCTGGTCAAAGAGATACTTTCTTGGGATATTGACCTGAGTTTTCCTTTCTTTCTTGAGCCAACAATTTATGCTTCAGATTCTTTTTTATGTCTTGGGGACTTACCTTCAACACAATTAAAATCCTGCGGTTGGAAGAAGAGGCTGTATGGTAATCTCAGTCATACATCATGGCACCCATCCAAGTGGTTAATATGGAAGCGTGATTCCTACTAAGTTATGATTCATTTGTCTTTAAACCCAAGCAATGACTGTTTGGTAGGAGCAGACAACTCAAGCTTTGTCTTTCTTAAATGCTTTTAGAATAACTTCTTCCTTTAGATTCTAGCAAGGATTCCATAATTACAAGCTTTCTGTCCTTGAGTTTGAATTTTGAAAATGATAATAGATTCCTTCATTGTCTGAGGGACTTTCAGCATGAGGAATACTGAAAGCTATATGTACTTAGTTTAATGGTCATTTCATTGAATTCATACAGAAAAAAATTTAAGAATCTCAATTTTTCTTGAGCATTTAAATATTAATTCCAAAATGGACTAATTAAGTTTTCTGAAAGACTTTAAATAATGACTACAAATTTAGTATGGGTTAGTCTTTGAGATCACCAGACAACTTAAGCAGCTGATAAAAGACATACCTAAGCAGTGATTACAAAAGTTGTTATTGCACATTCACTTAAACCTGTCCTAAAACATCAAGACTATGGTTTAGGTAATTTCTTATTTCTGTACTTTTACTGACTTCCTAGTGTAGTATGATTATTAATGTGATATCTTCCTCATCTCTCGGTATTAGTACTTTTGTGGGCTTTAGCATTCTTACTAGAACTAAAGGAAAAGGAAAGGATCTGGGTTGTTAAGCGGTTAATTCTTAGCAGGACATGGTCTGATTGTGAAAACAGGGCAATTCAAATCTGAGCCATAATGATGAGCTGACTTGTTTTTTTCTTGGTAAACTTTTAAGTCCCTTTCTTATAAATTTTTGTCTTTGAAACTTGGTATCTCTTGCAGTACTGATATATTAAGCTAGACATGACTGATAGTGCCTAACCTATTGATCTGCCATTAGGGTGTTTTGATCTGTTCTGTTTTTGTCGTTTAAGGTGGTTGCATCCTAGAGCTTTCATTTCTGTCTTGATTCTAGAGGACTTAGTTTCATGTAGTTAACTTGTCTCTTCAGGACACAGTCATTCTTGTTTTAAAATGCAGTGTTGAATTGTCTGTCTTCCTTAGTTACTGTATATGACCATCTATGCCATCTTCTGCCTGATTATTATCTGTCCTTACCATATATCTTCTTATTTGTGATAACAAATCCAACCTAGTTCTTTTTAGTACCTTCTTCTGCTGGGAACATTTGGTCAAGTTACAAGTTCCATTGTTTATTCTTCAGTGCTTATGCAGAAAGTAGTAACTATATATGTAAATATTACAAACAGGCATTATTATTAGAAAAAATAAACTACTCAATATGAATGCTCCCCTACTTATTAAAAAGTCAGCTTCTGTCACAGCTGACTTTTGTGTCATGACCTTCACAACGTGGTCAATGGGACTTCCCTGTATGTTGACCCCGAGGTCCTTTTAGGACTCTGACTTTCCTAAAAGCATCTATGCTATTTGAAAAGAACAGCATGTTCCAGACCCACGTTAGTTCTTTTCCTACCTCAGCTCATGGAATCCGCTGCCCCAAGGCACTATTCCTTAGAGACCAGGGATATTAAATGCCGAACCCAGGGCTTCAGGGATGCATGGGGGAGTCAGTACTACCACTGCTCTGGGGTCCTTTAGTTTCAGAGCTGAAAATGTTTAGTGTCCTGAGGCCATGTTTTATGCTGCTGTGTCCCACTTCTTTTATACTGTGTGATTTCACTACAACTATGGTATTTTTTCTTATATGGTATTTAACGTGTGTACCAAGGAAAAACATAGGTGTCTCCGGGGAAATATGTACAGTCTCAAAAATCATATTTGTAGTCAATAAAGGAAATGAAGGAAAGTGTAAAAATAACCTTTAATTCTGATCAATATGTCAGGCTATATTTTTTTTCAGGCCAGTGGATACTTTAGAAAGATTTTTAATGATATAAAATTATTTAAACACAATAAAAGGTGTACCTAATTTTCTTTATGAGAAGACTAACCCAGAATCTTAATTCTATCATAACTATATAAAAGGGATGAGTTTTCTGACATATTAAAGATTCACTTTTCAGTGTATATGTTTTATTCTAAGATTTATAATAGGGACTTCATTATTATAATTTTTAGCATTTCTTAGAAATACAGACAAAACAAGCATGTTATTCTGGTATCTTTAACTCTTCGGCTTAATTCAGTGAAACATTACAGGTTTTTTGAAGGTGTAGCCAAACTTTAATAATAGAGATGCACTCTTGATTGTCAGATGTTAATTCTGACAAACCTACGTATTCTTCGGGGCTTCCCAGGTGTCTCAGTGAGAGAGACGCTGCCTGCAGTGCAGGAGATGCGGGAGACAACAGTTCGTTCCTGGATTGGGACGATCTGGAGAAAGACACGGCAGCCCAGCCCAGGGTTTCTTGCCGGGAAATCCCGTGGACGGAGGAGCCTGGCAGGCCACAGTCCGTAGGGTCGCCAAGAGTGGGAAGCGATTGAACCACACACACGCCTTTATGATTTCTCTGCCTTCTTCTAGTGCCCAGCTGCTGGTGGAATTGCTGGAAGACCAATTCTACAGAAAAATCTTAGGTCAGCCACAAGGAAGATCCCTACAGCTCACTTTTAGCCAGTCCACAGCATTCAGGTGTTCGGAACCTACCGACCCAAAGGTAGTCTAAGACTACCTGGGGCCAAGCTGACGTTTCAGATGCAGCCTGTCAGACACCCTAGTTTCAAATCTAAAAAACTCCAAATGTGGAAGGCAAGGCCAGTGCATACTCCTCAGTGTTCAGAATTACGCTTTCCGTGTCTGCTTTCCATATTGTTAACATTCAAGAAAGGTGAAAGACGACTACTGGCTCACATTAAATACTTTCTCTCTGGTGGAGGTTTCACTGCCTAGGTCCCATCTTGCAAGTGGTGAAGACCCGCCCCCCCAACCAGGTGTACTGGGGAGCGTTACCCCCATTCATTCCCTTCACTGTCTGGGACACATACGGGAAACATAACTGTCCCCCGTGACACATTCTTCTCTTGTTCTTACATCAGTTCCACTGTTTTTCTTCCCTAAAAGTAATATTTGTAAAAGTGAACTTGACAGAAAAACTCAAGTATTAATAAATAGTTCATGTGTATGTAAATACCCAGATGCAAGATATCGACCAAGAAGAGACAGACGTGGGATCAGCCTGATCTCACTAAGGAGTAGGGTGTAAGTCACTTATCTTGTGAATGTGAATACTTTTGGGGCCACTCTTTTTTTTTTAATTTTTTTTTTTAATTTTTTTTTTTTTTAATTTTTATTAGTTGGAGGCTAATTACTTTACATCATTACAGTAGTTTTTGTTATACATTGGTATGACTTAACCATGGATTTACATGTACTCCCGATCCCAGTCCCCCCTCCCACCTCCCTCTCCACCCGATCCCTCTGGGTCTTCCCAGTGCACCAGGCCCGAGCACTTGTCTCATGTACCCAACCTGAGCTGGTTATCCGTTTCACCCTAGATAATATACATGTTTCAATGCTGTTCTCCTGAAACATCCCACCCTCGCCTTCTCCCAGAGTCCACAAGTCTGTTCCATACATCTGAGTCTCTTTTTCTGTTTTGCATATAGGGTTATCATTACCATCTTTCTAAAGTCCATATATATGTGTTAGTATACTGTAATGGTCTTTATCTTTCTGGCTTACTTCGCTCTGTATAATGGGCTCCAGTTTCATCCATCTCATTAGAACTGATTCAAATGAATTCTTTTTAATGGCTGAGTAATATTCCATGGTGTATATGTACCACAGCTTCCTCATCCATTCGTCTGCTGATGGGCATCTGGGTTGCTTCCATGTCCTGGCTGTTATAAACAGTGCTGCAATGAACATTAGGGTGCATGTGTCTCTTTCAGATCTGGTTTCCTTGGTGTGTATTTGGGGCCACTCTTTAATGTTTTGGTCTTACCTGATGGTGCTAATCGTAAAGAACCCACCTGAAAATGCAGGAGACATAAGAGATGCAGTTTCGATCCCTGGGTCGGGAAGATTCCCTGGAAGAGGGAATGGCAACCCACTCCAATATTCTCTCCTGGAGAATCCCATGGACAGAGGAGCCTGGAGGTCTATAGTCCATAGTGTCGCAAAGAATCATACATGACTGAGCTACTCAACAACAACAATTTTATGTTTGGTTGGCACCTTAAGTTGACTGAATTGAACCACCAGAAAGCAAGTATTTGCATCAGGCACACTTCTGTGTGGGGACAAATGTGTTTTAATTTAAGACATCCATAATAAGCCTGTGTTGAAAGGCTGCTTAATATTTCAGGTCTAAGTTTTCAGTGCCTGCTGATACATCAAGGAGACTGGTTGCATAGCAAAACTGGGAATCTGGTGAATTGGGTTCTTGGACTGAATGTTCATTAAGCAGAAGTTATCTCACGTGATTTGGCATAGCTGGCTCGCCTCCCCTCCCTGAGGTCCTTTGTCACTTGGCCTCCAGGACATCACATGCCTGTGGTTTTCCTTACTAACCTCTTCAGGTCTCCTCAGTTTTGTGCTCCTTACCTAATTTCTCCTTCTCACTCCGACTTTTAATGCTCAAGGGACCCATGGCTCTTTTCTATCTGCACCCCACCCCTTGTTACCCTCATTGAGTCAGGACTCCCCATGCCTATCCACTAGCCAATGATTCCTTCCCTGAACTCCAGTATGTGTATCTCCACCTCAATATAGTTCCAATAATACTCCTGATCTTGTCCCCATCATATTTGGTCATTTCCCAGATTTATCCATCTTGGTAAATTAGAGACTCCATCCTTCCAGTTGCTTAGGCCAGAAACTTGAGTCATCCTTGACAATTTACTTTCTCTTGTACCTCACACCCCATCTATGAGCAAATCCTATGCAATCTATTGAAAATACACATCAGAATCTCTACACTTCTCACCACATTGGCTGCTGTCACACCAGTCCCAAGCCACTCTGTCACTCTGCTATATAGCCTACAGGCTATCCTCAGCACAGCAACCAGCGTGAACCTGTCAGATACTATTACTTATCTCAAACCCTCCGGCAGCTCCCATCTCATCCCAGATAAAAGCCAAGCTGTTTATAGTAGAATAATGACCTCTAAGGCCCTGCACACCTGGCCACGTGCTACCTTTTTGACATTGGATCACTGACCTTGCTGGTTCCTGTAATTTTCCAGACATGAAGCAGCCCCAGGGCCTTTTCACTTGCTCCTCTCTCTGCAGAGTGCTTTTTCTCTGTAGGAACTCATTCCTCACTTCGTTCAGGATTCTGCTCAGATGCCACTTCAGTGAAACCTACCTGTTCACATTGCAAAAACATGCTTCCCCTTCCTTAATTTTTCCATAGCGTTTTTATCCTCTAACCCACGGTGACATTTACTCATTTCGTTTATTGTCTGTCACAGGTGCTAACTTCGGGGGAGGGCAATCAAGAATGGCGAGCAGAGGAGAAAGCCCGTGAGTATCATCTGTTACCTGCAGACCAGCTGTTGGGCGGGTGGGGGTGGGGGGCGGCTGTGGCTTGTACCGCAGCTGGCAAAACAACTACCCCAAGGTTGATGGACTTGGGGTGCTCTGCTGACATCTTCCCGGACCTCTTTTTTTGTGGAGGCCAGACAGATGAATGAGATGGAAATTAACGGGGATCACCACTCTGCTTCCGTTAGGTCTTCAAGGTTGTCGCTTGTTTCTGCTGTTGCCTCGGGATGGTTGTAATTTGCAGTCTGGCTTAGGGGCAGAGTAGAAGCGCAGCACCAGAGACTCGCGCTTACCCTTCCCCACTTTTTAAAAAAATATTTTCTTTTGTTTTTGGCTGGGCTGAGTCTTTGTTGCTGCGTACAGGCTTTTCTTTGGTTGCAGCGAGCGGGGGCTCCTCTCTCGATGCAGAGCACTGGGTCTAGGCACGCAGGCATCAGTAGCTGTGGTTTACGGACTCTGGAGGCTCAGGAGTTGTGGCACACAGGCTTAGATGCTCTGTGGCACGTGAGATCTTCCCCGATCAGGGGTCACACCCGTGGCCCCTGCATTGCAAGGTGGATTCTTCACCACTGGACCTCCAGGGAAGCCCCCTTCCCCACTTTTTATTCACAGGCCAAGGAACCACCGTGGATATGTGGGTATTCTGGCAACTTCCAAGTATTATCTGTTTCAATTATTCCAGGGCCAAAAGGGAAACGGCAAAAGTGGAGAGTGTAAAGGTCAACAGCCTGCTCTCCTCCCCCGTTTTTTATGTCCTTGAGATGTATGATTATCCCGAGGGGAGCGCTAAGCTTGATGTCAGCACATGGAGGGATTGCCTTCCGGGTGTGGCCCAGATGGCAGTGTATTTGCCCATGATGCTGAAAGAGGATGTGGGCAACGCTGCCAGGAGCTCTGGGCTTTCCCCACATGGCACATAGCTCCCTCCAAGGCTCTAGGCTCTGAGGAGAGGCAGCCTTTTGTGTCTGGTCAACAGTAACTGAGAACCAGTGAGAAAAGAGAGAGATGGGGGAGGATGGACAAATGGCCGTCCTTCCCTCAGATGTCTTAAGTGTCTCAGTCAACAAATATTTACTGAGCATCAGCTATGTGCCAGGAACTCTTCTAGAAACTGAGGGTACATCAGTAAGGAAAACAAACAGAAACCCCTGCCTTCATGAAGCTTACATTCTAATGAGGGTAGACCCTGTTATTAACCCTGTTTATGGATGGACATCATCAGAGGGACAGTGTTAATTTTTCAGAGTCACACAGCCAACAAATGGCTTCTGGGGGAGGAACTGTTTGATTTCAAAACCTGTGTCCCATCAACTGTATCATGACTGCTCCCAAAAGAAATGTGACTGTGTCAGGGCAAGGCCAAAG